AAAAAAAAAAAGGCACCGAGAGGGTACCCGCTTTGCACTCCGACGTTGTCTGATGACGCTAAAATAGCGCAGAAGTATGCACACCTGCCCAAGAAATTGTGAAGAATCAGGAATGAATGGGTCATGCACGAGCTTTGAGGTGCATGCTGCTGCTGCATGGGGCTCCAATTCGAGCGTCCCCTCCTTCTCAATCAGCCTTCTCGCATCCACCTTCCACAGCCAGCAGCAGCACCGTTCACGTTGACATAGGTGCAGTCATGGCGCAAAATGCCGACCGTCTGGATGGAAGAGCGCACCATTAGCGTCTGTCATGTCGCCATCAACGAAGGGCTCAAGAAGTTTGATTTTTTTCCCCTCTTGTCGGAGTGGAGGTCAGCATGGCACAAAGTTGGGGAGGTGAGTCGAGCGTGCAAGCTGCACTGTTAGAGACTTTTTACGAACGACCTTGCCGGTATTTCGCGGCTGCCGTGTGCCAGGGCTACTCGATAGGAAGAAAGAATGACAGCTGCTTGCCCCATCGCCTCTCTCTCGCGATTGTGAAGCTGCCTCAAGCTCCAGCAACACGCGCACCAAGTCAAATGCCTTCGAGTGACGTCTTGAAACAACTTGGTCGAGAGAGCTGAAAGCGCTTTCGCTGCTGCATCTGCTGCTGTACGTCAAGCTTCAAGACAAGAGGCTGCAACACCAGACACCTCGTCACTTCGATCATTTGCTCTACACTTACAAAGTCAAGTTGCACAATCGCGACACCTGCGCAGAAAGGCCTGCGGAGACCGCACCACATTGACTCGAACGAGGCTGCTCAAATTTTTTGCCGAGATGTCAGCGGAACAAGACGTCAAAGGCGAACTGAGGATCGGATCCTCTGTCGCAGCTGCTGAAGAAAGGTTCGCATCTGGTGGGACGGATCCGATGAAGAGCCCAGAAGGACTTGCGTCTACGGTGCAATCTCCAAACACGTCCGGAAGCGCTTCTCCTGTCTCGCAAGATGTGGAGAAGCAAAGTCACGTATTCAACGAGCAGACCAACTATCTCCCGCCAAGAAAATTGATTCCCGTGCGTAGCTAGGATCGTCGACTCTTTAGTCTCGAGGAGCTCAACTCGGCTGATCCCGATACATCTTTTGCCCCCCGTCCTGCTACCTGCTCGCCAGATCTTCTTGGCGTTGGCAGGGATCGACTTTGTGGCTTTGATGGATCAGACCACACTCAGCGTTGCGCTACCAATCATAGCTTCCGATTTCAACGCGGGTGCACAATCCTCTTTTGTCAGCTCTGCATATTTCATCAGCAGGTGAGTTTTCACTTCAGACCTAGATCTGTAAAGCCGATTCGGTTCGTGTTTTGTTTGCGTCCTTGGCTGAGTGTTTTGCTTCTGGGTCTCGCTGGCTATAGTACGGCTTGTCAGCTCTTGTACGGCAGAGTAAGCGACATAACGGGTAGAAAGGCGCTCTTGATGGCTGGTCTTGCCGTCTTCTTCCTCGGATCCTTGGCATCTAGTCTGGCCCCCGATATCATCACACTCAGCGTGTTCAGAGCCATAACAGGTGTGGGCGGGGGCGGATTGATGACCCTGGCACAGATCATCGTGAGTCATCTCTCGTGAGCTTGAATAGCATGCTGAGCGGTTGAATGGAGTCGCTGACGCCGCATGGTATCATGACCGTCAGGTGTCAGACGTCGTGTCTTTGAGGCAACGCGGCAAGTATCAGGGCATTCTTGGAGCGTGAGTCAACAGAACGCAAATGACTTTACGCCTGTAGACCGTATAGGCGGCCTCAAAAGTGTTTGGCCCGCAGACTGACGTCACACACCTTTCTGATGGCTTCGTAGAGTCGTTGCATTGTCTAACGGAGTTGGTCCAGTGATAGGAGGAGCGCTAGCCTCCAACTCGTCATGGCGAAACATCTTCAGGTTGATGCTCCCCTGTTCCTTCGTCGGTGCAGTCGCAGCGTGGATCTGGATGCCTTTGAAACCAGTGACGGGAAATTGGCGCAAGAAATTCGTAGCCATAGACTGGCTCGGAGCGCTTCTGAGTCTCGCAGCCGCGACCTTGGTGGTTCTCGGTCTGACTTGGGCAAGCGATTACGATTGGGTCAGCGTGCACGTGCTCGTGCCCCTTCTGATAGGTGTCGCAACAGCAATCGTCTTTTGTCTCTGGCAGTACTGGGGCGATAAACCTTCGAGACCAGCCTTGATGCCCATGCAGATATTCAAATCTAGCATCGTTTGCGGAGCTTGCATCACTCAAACCATCAACGGTTGGCTCTTTGTGACCCAAGTCTACTTCATTCCGCAGTTCTACCAACTTGCTTACGGCTACACACCCACGGTCGCCGGCGCTTTGATCTTGCCTCTGACCGTCGTCCAGACCGTAGCTTCGACGCTTTCTGGATTATTGATCACCTGGACAGGTCGCTATCGAGAGATTCTGCTGCTGGGTTGGGCCATGTGGTCGATCGGGCTGGGTCTATTCAGCACGCTGGACGAGTCTTCCAATCTAGGCAAACAAGTCGGCTTTGGACTCTTGGCAGGTGTAGGAGTGGGAGCAACGCTTCAACCGAGCCTGATAGCCATTCAAGGTGCCGTTGACCGAAAACAAATGGCTGCTGTGACTGCTACGAGAATGTTTGTGCGGAATTTGGGAGGTGCTCTAGGTCTTGCGCTCGCTGGAACCATCGTCAACAATAGCGCTTCATCCTTCTTATCACCTTTGCCCGGTTGGGACGATGAAAGGATTCGACAAGCGCTCAACAATCCTTCCACTTTTCTCAACGATGGCACCACAGCCTCATCTGCTGCTGCTTCAGCTCTCAACAGCAACGACATTGCAGCCCTTAGACAAGGTTATCGAAAAGGTTTCAAAAACGTCTTTATACTCCTCGCAAGTCTGGGCGCTTTCAGCTTCTTCGTCGCCTTGTTCTTGATGAAGCAAAAGACGATCGATAGGGAGGACGATGCTGCACTGCGAAAACAGGCCGAGCAATCGTTGGAGAAGAAACGGCGATCCAGTCAAACGACACCCCATGCTCCGCCGTCTACAGATGAAGCAAGCGAGGCTCGAGGGCAACCGGGCAGCAAAAATGTTTCTGCTCATCAAGAAGCACCAACTCCGAACCGCACAGACCAGTCTCGACCCCCTTCATCTGTCACGATCTACACGACTAGGCAATCTTTAGAAGGTAGAATTCCCAAATGAGCCGCATGCTCGCCCATCCGTCCCGCATACGCAGTCAGTCCCATCCCCTTGCCACAAAGAGCCTGCACTACTGCCAAACGATATCTGTACAGCTCGTAATGCGCGGTACTCTTTCGACGCAAGAGATGTCAATTTCAAAACCCCATGTACGGCCGCATATTGACACCATCTGGATTTGGGCGTGGGAGAAAACAGCGAGGGAGCGCGCTGCTCAAAGAGCCTTGTGATGTTTTCTATCGTTTCCTTGCCTGCCTGCGCCAGAACATTTGTTCACGTCCATCAAGAGCGAGCGACTGTACAAGGCACCCTACGAGGCCTTCTCCTTGACCACATCTTTGAGCTCCTCTACCTTGTGAGCTGCATTCTCCGCCGCTGGTGCAATGTACGCCTTCAAGCTGTCCGCGAAGCTGACCATGCAGACAGTCTGCCAAATGCCTGCAAGTAGTCAGGCGGTAGAGTGGGCAATGCATGAATGATCAGAGCTGGTGATGGGCTCTGGCAGTGGCAAAGACACTCACCCAGGAAGATACGTGGGGTGACACCTCGGTAAAGGCCCTTGATTCCGTTCTCCTTGTAGATGTATCCTGTCAGGCGGACCCAAAAGCAGTGCGCACATCAGATCCAGGCACTGCATTTGATAGTCCCACTCTGCTGACTCACCCAGCGTGTTGCCGATTGTCAACTTAGCAGGCCTGTTCGATCCTGGCTCAGCCTTCGCCATAGATTGCATCTACCCCGCGCAGAACCATGTCATCAGCGTCATAGCCCGCAGTCAATACAGTCTCTGATCCCGACAGTCGGCTCACCTCGACTCGGATGACCTCGATGGGCTGGTTCCAACATCCAAGAGCACCGCCTGCAAGGATCCGTTGGGCCAGCCGAAGTGTTCAGCAAGACAGTGGCATCCGATCTGACAGCGCACACGCACCAATAGAAGAGCAGAAAATTCTCTCCAACGCGCTCAGCTTGTCCTTCTCCGTCTTTCCGGACAAGGCACGAACAGGAGTCTCTGCCAAACGGGCGAAGCCCATACTGCGCAGACGAGTCAGGCATTTTGCATGTAATTGTCAGCAGCTCGGCTTGATGCTCCGGCAATGGGCTCTCCGACTCACCGACTGCCCCAGTTGGTGCATTGCCTCACAGCAACAGCGTTTACACCCTTATTGATACCCTTTATTCCCTCACGGCGGTAAATGTCCATGAAGACCTGGAACGTTCCTGGAGGCTTGATACCCGCAGCTGCTTGCTTGTGACGAGTGATCTCTGCAGTCTTCATGCAGGTGCAGAATCCTGGGAAAGCAAGACGATGACTTTATGAGTGCTCCTAGTCCGTCCGCTGCTTGGTCGCTGACATGCAGACTCTAGGTGCTGCTTCTGTCTCCGGCTACTTGTGCCGCATCCATTGGAGCACACCACAAGTTGTCACGCTAGAAAGTGCGATTGAAGCACCGTCCTGCTACGGGTCAAGGCCCGCATACAGTCGCATTCCAAAGGGACCCCCTGCTCCCCAGTCGATCCGGCATCCGGTCTAGCATGTACTCATCAGATGGGCACGCGAAGCGCTTGCAAAGCAGACCTACCGTAGTGACAACTTCGCTACCAACAACACGCTTCCAAATTGGTCATACACTCACCCATAGTTGCGTACGCCTGAACAATACCTCCACCCATGCCTCCCAGCAGACCGCTAGTGCCAGGACTAGCGCCGGCAGTCTTTGCAACCTTTTCGATCTCACTAGCAGTGAAGATGAGGACAGCACCTTTTGTGCTAGCTTCAATCCAAGCCCAAGGGATCAGACCTTGATAGAAACCCAATACACCACCACGGGACCAGACCGTCCTGAGCGCTTCGACCATAGAAGCTTTGCGATTGGAAGCCATCTGGGTCTTGACCACCTCCAGAGGCTGTCCAAGCGTCGACACTTCGAACATGCTGATAATGATGAGGTGAAGAGGTGCGCATCAGCCAATCACCTTCCCAGCATTGAAAAAGGCTGCGGTACGCCAGACATCCTGGCTCTGCGCTGAGCAAACTCACTTCATCGTTGCCCCGACGGCGATGTTCGACCATGAGAAGCCCTTCTGTTGAGGTGCCATTTTGATAGGGACCGAAAGTGAAGACCCGAAGAATGGAGCTGGTAGTGTCTTGATGCAGGAATAGTGGATTGCAGAGCTGTCACTGTCAAGTCTAAAGCAGGCAAAGCTATTCTGGGCACGCAGGTGGGCGTGGTGAGTGCTAAGAGAGCACCGGAGGGATGGTATGGTGTCGGGCGGAGAAGATGGAGATGAGGGTCAGGGATGGCCAAGTCGCAGTCAGAGTGCAGTTGCTACGAATCCCAGCCAATCCAAAGATCGGCTCGTGCGCAATCGAGGTGCTGTGTGTGTGTGTGCCTGGGGGAAGAACCCAAGAATGCCCGTAGCGAGGTGCCGATAGCAATTGCGGTGCTGCAGCAGCAGCAGCGCATCAGACTCTCGACCTCGACTTGCCGACCCAATCGTGAAGCAGCAGCAGCAGCATGCAGCTGCACGTATGCACGGATCCAAGTCTTAGCATCAGCGAGCGTCCTTTTGGTTCATGTGCGCGTGCCCCCCCCCCCGCGTTCAGTTTCTGTTGGATCGACCATCGAATCGCAGCAACGCCTCAGATGAGCGCGCGCCGGTCTGGCAGCATGCAGCATGGTGTTGTGACCTCTGCTTCGCCGCGCGCGCATGCAACAAGCTACACGCACACGGCAGGTAGGTAGGCTTCTCACGACGAGCCAAAAAAGCACGCTTGTTCGCTGCAGAAGATCCGGTCCCCAAAGGTCAATCAATCAATCGTGAATGCCAGCAGCGCTGGATGTTGCTGTGACAGCGCTTGATCGCCCCCAGCAGCATGCAGTCAGCTAGCTAGGCCCAAAGCTTCTTCCTCAAGTGCGCACATGTTCCCATCTTGCCACTCGCCTTGGCTTGCATGACGCTATGAAATGGCTCCTTTCAAAGAGCCACTAATCAGGCCGCGAGCCTCTCCGTGAAGCAGTCACAATAATAGTGTAATAGTCGTGTGAATGATAATCACGGACGCAGGGGAAGTATAGCAGCACATTCAAGTCAGTCGTAAGTGTGAGCCTGATCGAGTTTGAGTCGGAGTGTTAATCAACAATTTAACTCCCGTCACACGTCCATCGCGCGCGCGTGAGAGCGCGGGCATCCGTGAGCTGGCGGCACAGGGGGACGCGCGCGCTCACACCCTAGTCACGCACACGATTCACATTCAATTCAATTGCGATTCAGATTGCATGCTAGCTGCTGCTTCACGCTTCGAAACCTTCGAGTTGAAATCAAGCCTAGCTCCCGCGCGCGCAATTAAACTCCCCTCCATCCATCTTTCGAGCATGCATCATGCCCAGCATACTCAATTTGTTCACTCACACTGCAAACACGCGGCCTTTGGCATCTCTGCCTGGATGAAGATGTGACATTCGTGATTCGCGATTTGCGGCAATACGCCGCGTCCAGAAGAAGAAGTTTGTGTCAAATCTTCGCCCCATCTCTGCGGCACCTGAACAGTCATCAAGCTCAACAAATCCGTGCGATTTCCCCAACCGTCGGTCCTGTCTTTTGAAGCTCGTAGAATGATCTCGAGCTGCGCGCTTGTTTCGGTCCGCCCGGAAACGGAGGCGCGAGGGACGCACACACACGTGACGTGCTCTGCACGGACCCGATTCGCGTTGCCTGTTGCTCCTTGCTCCCAGGCGCACGCTTTCATGTCAACTCAAAACTCTAGCCATTCCAAACGCGCGCAGCTTCTCAACATGCACATCCACGATCACGAATGCGAACACAGAGGTGGAGAAGCGCGTACACATCTCTCCATCGAAGCGCATACAAGGTGCAAGTGTTAGCTCTCCCGATAAAGCTATCCTGCCCACTTAGCAGTAGCTGGGGTATCTGAGAACCTTTCAGCCTCGAGCGACCAAAATCCCTCTCCGTTTACTCCGCGCGATCGTCGCGCCATCATTCTTCAGATCAAGTAAAGTTGGCCGGACGGGCGTCTCAATGATCACGAACTCTATATAGCGCAACGCGGCGTACCTCACCCCGACTGCTGTCTGCGCTAACGCGCAAAGCCAATCGGTATTGCTGGCCGATATTAGTCTTGGCTCGTCCGCCTCGTCGCACTTTGCGCAATCACATCATCGCGACGTCTTAGAGGGCGCTATAGTCACGAATCAATAATTGGTGCACGCGGGCTACTTGCGAGTGTCTTGTCGGCACGCAAGGCTGAGAAAGAGCTGAAGCATGCATAGACATAGCGGCATGACGTGCTGCGTTCTACGAGATGCTCCCGGACGCTTCTCGACCCAAGCTCGTGGGCTCATGCGGCGAGCAAGGTACTGTGAGCCACCGTTGAGAATCCCCTTCCGACAAGAATTCTCAAGCTGGTGCGGAGCGAAAGCTACCGCTTCTCGGTCCAGTACGGGTGCCCCACCTTCAAATCCAAGTGCACCCCTCTCGACATCGCAACCTAAGACGATCGCAGCTACTGTCTCTTGTTCTGCGGAGCGGAGATTCTCACAGTCATCACTCAGCTCGACATGCGCATCTCGCGCTCTGCACCAACGAGCCACCAAAGAATCTTTATCACAGCCCGACCAGCGCATTAGACGTGGAATTCCAGCATTTGCCTTCGACATCGATGGCGTTCTTGTCAGAGGAGGAAACCCAATCGAAGGTCTTTTGCCCATCTTTCAGAGACTCAACCATGCCTTCTCATTCAGAGTACCGCACGTCTTCCTGACGAACGGAGGCGGTTACGCAGAAGCTGTCAGAGCGAAACGTTTGGGCGAATTGACACGCAGTGAGGTGAGCAGCTGTGCGACATTATCTCCGGCGCGGCTGGCACTCATAATCGACTTGCATTTGGCGGGTGACAGGTCTCCGAAGAACAGATCATTCAAGCACACACAGTCCTGCAAGAGCTGGTGCCCTCGTATGCAGATCGACCCGTGCTGGTTCTTGGCGGCGCCTCCGAGTCCAAAGTACGGACAGTGCACGATGTGATGCGCGGGTGAGTGCATCAGGCCGGGTAGACGTGATTCCGCACAGGCTCATCGAACCGATTCCGCCCGCCCACCTCTCTAGCTACGGCTTCAAAAACTTCACGCTAGCCTCCGAGGTGCATTCATGGAGGTTCGATGTTTGGCCATTCCACGACGCTCCCGAGGGCAATCTGAGTGAAGGTCGAGCGTGGCTGAAACGCCATGCTGAGCAGCGGCATCACCACGATGCAGTGTCAGAGAGACGCTTCGAGGCTGTCATCGTTTTCCACGACTCGAGAGATTGGGGAGGGGACATTCAGCTCATGTGTGATGTGTTGCGAAGCCCGACTGGTCAGATTGGGACGCTGGGTGACGATACGCATCCACAAGCCCCCGTCTTTTTCACCCACGAGGATCTGAGTGAGTGCCTGCGTGAGGATGCGCCCCCTCTTTTGGTCAATTTAGCTCATAGACAGCTTCAATCGCTGCACACAGTCTGGACCAACTCCTTTCCCACGCCCAGATTCGGTCAGGGCGCTTTCCAGCTTGCTGCACGAGCAGTGTACAAGGCGGCGTCTGGCAGAGAGTTGCAAGCGACGACTTTCGGCAAACCTCATCGTGCTACCTATGCTTTTGCTGAAAAGAAGCTCAAGGGCTTTGCAAAGGCGCAAGGATTGGGAGCGGAGGATGTTGCAGATGTGTGGATGATTGGTGATAATCCTGGTGAGTGAGAGCGCTGTTGAAGCGCGCCTTCACAGTCCAAGACGGCAAGGATGAGCAGAGAAGTTTCGGACTGAAATCCAGCGCATCTTCTCTCCCCCTTTCCCCCTAGCTTCCGACATTGCTGGGGCCAATGCTTTTGGTTGGAAATCTGCATTGGTGAGAAATACTCTTGAAGCTTTTTTGAACTCTTGAAAGTTTTGGAGCGCTTACTTCTTTTCATTCCCGCGTGCGCCCCCCCCTGTCGTAGGTCGAGACTGGAGTGTATGTGCCAGGCACAAGGGCAGCTTTTGAGCCCACCATGCATGCGCGCTCAGCAGAGCAAGCCATTGAGCGCATTCTTGCTCAGTACGATCTCGACTGAGAGCGCCACTCTTTTTCAATACGATTTTTTTGCATCCTTCATTGTCCCACTTGGCACACGCGTACGCACATTGCAGCTCTCTGCTCCTCGCCAACGTCTTGTATTTCCACAATCAAATGGTACGCGCACGATCAAGCCTTGCGAGGTAGTAGTGCCGAGCCGATGTGGGCCGAGGTGATGCTGATACATATGTCGATATGGAAGCTCGAGCGATCGAGATCGCGGTATATGGGCAACTGTGAGGCCCAATCGCTGCATGCGCCAGGCAGAGCTCATCGCATTTCAACCTCCTTTGTGCATATACTGGCATGGCTCGAAGAAGGGAGTCATCCGAGCGCGATTGCGAACGGCACAAGGCGATGCGCGAAAGAGGCGTACGCCACGCCCTCTACATCTACTCGTCATCTTCCTCCTCTCCCACCTCCTCTCCTGCCGCACCCGAAGCTCCCGCGCCTTGTCCACCCGAGCGCCTGCGCTTCTTCCTATCCGATCGGGTCGCAATCTTGACGCCTTGCGCTGCCAACTTCTTCGACAGTTCCGTCGGATCATGCATACCAGGAAATCGGCGCGGCGAATAAACGGCTGACATGCGAATAGATGCCAAACAAAGATACAGCAAAGGTCAGCACCTAGATTGCATCCGCCATGCCCTACGACAAGCACGCACTGAAAGGATCTGTATACACTTCTGCCAAGGCAGTGGAGACACCCTCATTGGACTGCCCATCCCTGCAGCTTGCCAAAAGCTCAAGCGTGAGTATCGACTAGGCGGACTGGGCAGTGCAAAGCCTGCGCTTCGGAAGGGCTGCGCACTCACCTTGAAAGATCTGCAAAGAGTAGCTTCAATCGATAGGATCCCTCTGTGCGCACGCTCAGGTCTTGAAGCACGAAGAAGATGCAAGTATGATCGCGCTCGTCCTTGAGGACATTCGCACTGGCCACCGAGGCTCCGACCAGATTGCGAGTGTACGACTCCGTCGTCAAGGTTTGAAGACCAGCCGGCAGGATGGAAGGTGGCATTCCTGACCCGCTAGAAGAGATCTCCACGCCGCTCCCCATCGCAGTGTCGTATGGACCACGAGCATCAGAGGAAGATCGAGAGCGAGAGCCGAGGTGGAGGGCTGCAAGCGAGGACAGGCTGCCTGCGCCGGGCGTCGTTGGTGTAGGAGGCCTTATGCTTGGATAGTCTGCAGAAGAGGGTCGACTGCTTGGTCCAGGGAAGGCGCCATACTCAGATGGATTTCCGAGGCCAGGCGAAGGAACGGGCACGGTCGTTGAGTGATGATGAACCAAGACATTGCGCGGAGAGGCCATCAGCAATTCGGGATGGCAAAGATCGCACGCTAGGTAGAACAGGGATGTGTTGACTTTCCTAATGGCGGAAGTGGAAGGCGTCAGCAGTTGCATCACGCGGAAGCGGGGCTCGTCCTGCCGAAGGCTAACCATGGCGATACCTCCTCTCCAGTTGCTTCCTCTGTAATCACAAGCTTGACAATCAGAGTTGGACTCAGAGGCCGTCGATCCTTGTCTCCGAAGCCGCACATGCGCGCCCTGCTGGGATGCTGTACAACCACTAGTTGATAGCGTCTGGCGTGGAACCGGAAGTAGCAGAGGGCATCAGTATAGGACCGCTCGCATGACTTCTCACTACTACTCACAAGCCTGCTTTCACGCGTGAGATGCCTTCTAGCGGAGTCGTGGCGACTGCGGTGGAACTCTCGGCCCTAGGGTAGGAGCTCTGAGGTGGCTGTGCAGCTTCATGACCAGCCTCTTGTTGGCCTGGGAAAGCACGAGAGTGAGCTTTAGTGGGAGGTGACATCTCGAAGCAAGATGTGAGGGGTGTAATGCAAGAAGGCGCACCTGAAGCTGACGCGCCGGGCTGATGAGGAAACTCCGTAAACGTGTAGGGATGCGCGCTTGCCGCGCTTAATGTTGCAGCTCGACTTCGATTTGACATCGAACCGGTGGTAGAGTAAGGACCAGGCAGCAAATCTGCACGCGAGCGCCTTCTTGGCCGGTCAACACCAGATGACCCTGCGCCAAAGCCAGCACCACCTCCTGCTGCAGGCGGCGTCTGAGGCGACCGCGCCGAGTCTGCAGATAGATTGTACGATGAAACACTGCTACCTGAGCGAGCGCGAGAGATCGGATCGGTCTGAAATGGGTGGGGAGGGCGTGACAGAAATCGAACGACAAATGTCAGTATGAGTCCCAAAGACAGATGGAATGGATGCAAAACATCCAGACAAGCCTGATCCCTGCAATGTCAATCTCTGATTTATTTGCTGTGGAGAACGGACGCACAGGAGCTGCCAGGTACGGCCCAGTCCGAGGCGCTGGCAAGCCTGAGGCTCTCGTCGAGTGCCCTTCCCTCGGCAAAGAGGCCAGGGTGCTCGGCGCAACAAAGTACTCAGGGTGTGGATGCATCGGCCCACGATATGGTGTTGCTGGTGGGAGCAAACAAGCAATGAAGAGTGAGCTGCGGGCCCGTGGTGATGATTCGCTCGCCCAAAGATAAAGTGACTCACAACCTAGTGGAGGGAGCTGTTGTGCTTGAAAAGTACCAGTCGAAGGGTGATCCTCTAGTTGAGGAAAAAAATTGCCTTGCCGACCCGGTACCGGGAGGTCGCCTCTCAATGACCCAGATCGCTCTCGCGTCGGAAGGATGGGTCGAGCTGCACCGAAAGCAGAAAGGGGTTGATGCTCCGGTTCCGACGGCCAAGGTTCGCCTCTAGAAGACTCGTCTCTGGCACTCAAAGGTCGGGTAGACCGGCCAACAAAATTTGGGCGTTCATCGCCCGCATCACGCGATGGGTGACTCATGTTTCGGTCTGCTCCAAGAGTCGAGCGATCGCGCCAAGCCTTGTAGAGAGGGACCGCGATCTGTGCGGACGGCAGGAAGGGTTCATTAAGTTTTCGACAAAAGCCAGCTGTAATGAAACGGATGCGGTAACCCTTCCCAGTCGCAGGAGAGAAGCAGAGCACCAATGATATCTGATCGAGCGCTGAGACCTCGTCCTTCGCTGGCATGTGTTAGAGACGACAGCACGACGAAAGCCTACGCTGCCGTTTCCTTCGTTCCTGCATCGTGGGTCTATATGAGCCCACATATTATGCCGAGCTTTGGTGCTACGTAACCGCCTAGATTGGGGGCCGACGTAATATGTTCTTCTCTCATAGCATCACGCATGACCGGCGAGGTGACAAGCCAGCGTCAACTTGCCATCGCTCGCCAATGGACGAGATTGTGGGCTCGAATGTCGACCTGCCCTTCCTCTTGGCTCGGTGATTCCCAACATTGTGTCTACGGTGCAGCCCTCCTCACGGATAGACATCTACGTCGAGTGGCCGATCACCCTTTTGCAGATCAGAGTGAATCGCCTTGCCGCCAGTCAGACCGCTTTCTCTACGTAGCGCTGAAGTCTCCATGCGTGTGCGCGCGTGCGCGAGATGGCTTCAAATGGTGCAAGGGGCCCAACAGGCTAGACCGATTGCTTAGCCAAGCTTCATTCAACTGCTTCGTCCTCCTGCCTGGCTTACTGCCTAGCTTGCCATCTGCGCATACAGGCCGCCAGCCGGCTGGTTTGAAGTCCCATTACGGCTCCGACGAAAGCTCGGCGCACCGCAAACTCAATTTGGCATTGGAGCAAGGCTAGAACCGCCGCCGTATGACTTGTGACTGCTCATTAGCTGCTGCACTGCAAAAGATGCAGCTGCGACGACGGGAATCTTTGCGCGCGACATGGTTCGGCTCGGCTACTTGAAGTTCCTGAAGAGCACTCACCTCGCGAAAGTTGGGGGCCCCTGTCGGAAAGAACGCAAAGAGTCCTCTTTCCCAGTCTTTTGGAGGAGGGATGTATTGTGCCGAGTGTCAAGCGCTGGCGTTCTTGAAGCCTCCAATTCAGGTGCTTGGGTGCTGAAGACTTCGAAAAGCAAGCGACGCTAGATATTCAACAAGACAGTCTACCGCTTCTTTCCGAAAGCTTGGGCGGAAGCTTGCGGACCAGATATAAGGAATATGGCGACGTGTCTGGCCAGATCGCACTTGGTTTAGAAAGATGCGACAGCCTTCTGCGAGATGACTGGACGATTGTGAAGACTTCGAATGGAAGTGAGAGCGATGCCAAAAAGATCTGGCGCACAAGTGGCGAATCTCAGATATCAAAGGCAAAGCGGCCCAGTCGTCAGGTTCCCGAGCTCTTCAAGCCGAGATGTACGGCGCCCGAGCGGATCCAATGAGCGTCTATGCTGGTCGATGAAGGCAGTGTGTGCGTGCAGGGTGTGTCGGCGCTCGGAGACCATAGATGCGAGGGGCCAATGATGAGGAACAAGAGGATCCAGTCACGGCTGAACAAGAGCATGAATATATGCGTTTCGAGCTTCGCCCGACGCGCAGCTTTGCGGGAAGAAGGTTGCGGTGGACTTCCTTGGCGGAGCGACGGGTAGCAAGGCTCCGTCGCGGGGCGGAGCGCAGCGTTGTAGCAGAGCACCAGTGGGGGCGCGCCCTTTGTTGCTACAACCTTCGTGTCAAAGGTGGGCTGGACTCTCGCGTAGGGGCAGTGGCGACGAGACGGTGTGGTCGAAGCAGAAGTCTAGTGCAGCGTACATACGGCGAATGCGTCTTGCTCATTAGCAGGAGCGTCCAAACAGAGCCAGACAACGCAGTGATGGAGATCGGAGGCGGAGCAATCGTAGGCATGCGGTATTCCAGTCGACCTGACAAGGGTAGAAATGGACGGCGATCTGGGTAAGTCTTCTGGCGCTTGCTCGATACCTAGACTGCGAACGAAGCGACAACGCCATGTCCACAAGCCGGCCAACAAGCGGATTGCATCGTAGCATCTCTGTGGCAGACGACAACCAAGAGGCGTGAGATGGGCAAGTTTGACTTGAGCGACAAACATGCACCGTGCTGCGCTGCGCCTCGCAACCAACGCACGTAACTTTTCGTCGCCGAGCGATCGGCCAACGTCGTGTAGCTGCGTGCCTTGTTTCGATCCTAGCTCTGCGTTATGCTCTGCGTACGCGCGCACCCTTTGCGCCAATTGCACATGATTTGGTTCCAATGCGCGCCGACGTACGTCACTCACCAGGGCACCTCGTGTCAAGGCAGCATCCTCCGCTCTGCGAACCTCGAGGAAAAGAGTCTTGAGTGCGAATCGGCAAATGTGCTCACCTGACCGGAATCGCCGCTAGGGTGCAGTCGAGTGGGTTGGTCGATCGTGTCGCTGTGCTGCACGCCCGCCCGCCCAGAAGCAGCTTGCGCTTCTCAAAAGGTGACTTTGCAGGACAAAGGAGATCCGTGCGAACCTTAACGCTCGACTCGCTCTGCGACTGCTGTGAATGTGCAGAGTCAATCCACAAATGCATGCCTACGTGGATAAATACATGTAGCCCTCGCTGAGATCCCCACATGCATGTGTATCAAGCAGCACGTCAAGTAACTTTCACGAATCGCGGGCAGAAAGAAGAGAGCAACCCCAAGAATTCCCAATCAACCGCAATAAGCAAGCCATCACGAATCAAGAATAACGTAAATGTAGCGGCGGCTGCTAGCCCTCCTCCTACAGTACTTGCCCTGCCCCATCTGTGTGCGCTCGATCTGCATGCGTGCGTGCTGAATGGCCTTCATTAATGCAGGACGTACAGTTTAGGTCCGAGTAGAAAAGTTTTCTCAAAGCTTATTTCTCAACGGCAAATCTGCCGCTGCTGGATGTATCATGCAAT